TTGCCAGAAGAATGAAAAAAACCTGTTGTGGAAGAAGTATAGCAGGAATGCTCCTTGGAAACGAGGAAGGTGAGACTTCACCTCAGGCAGGACATCATTCTTGGTAGAGGGTCAATGAAAAAGAGGAAGACCCTCAATGAGATAGAATGACACAGTGCCTGTGACAGTAAGCTCAAACATAAGCCTGTGAGGATGACTCAGAACAGGGCTGTGTTTTGTTCTATTGTACATAGGGTCATTATTAGTGGGAACCAATTCTACAGCTCCTGACAAGTTAAATAAATCATGGTAAATTCGTATGACACTAGATCATTATGTAGCTGAGTAAAAGAGACTGAGACAATAATGTACAGATAAGCACCAAAGCTAAAAATGCACTATTTCTGGAAAGAGGATATAAAAGTAGAAATACAAGTATTTATTTGCGTTTATGCTCCTAGGATATCTCCAAAGGATTGGAAGAAACCGTTAACACCATCTCCGAGGAAATTAACTAGAAGGCTTACAGACATGGGTAGATTCTTTCACATACTGCCCTTGTAATTTCCAGCTTTGAGAAAAATGTATTCACATGCACACGCATGCACACACGCAAAAAGAAAAGCGTCAAGCTTGGTGATGTAATGAAGAACGTGTTTAATTCAACCTCAGAAGCAATTACCCCATTAAAGTCTTCCAACTTAAGGTTATATCGCAGTGACGCAAGTCTGACATTTGTCACAACCTTTCCTATCGCCAAGTCTATAGTCCTTCTACTTGTTTCTGAAATTAGCTATGCTTCAGAACTTTAGTCACATAATTGCTAGCAAACTTGGCATTCTTTGGAAAACAGTTGACATTTTTGTTTTCGATGTAATATGGAGAGGGGGACAAAAATCACACTAGGTATTATTTTATCATAAATGAAATTCAGTCTGTGAAAGTGCTTTGTACCTACAAAGCTGTAGAAATACGAAGTACTACTCAATAGAATTGACACTAGATCATTATGTCAGCCCCAGTGTTACAGGTGAGGAGAGACAACTCAGTGATGCCCAAAGTAGCAGGTGGGAAGAGCAGGAGAAAGGGGATTAAAAGCCAGGAAGCCAGAGAGAAGAGCAATCAGCCGAAGGGATTAGGTGAGGAGAGGAAACTCAGGCCCGCCC